CAATCAGGATTTCTAGATAATGATCAATTCGCTAATGTAACTCACGAATTACATAAGCAGCTTTAAGCAACAGTCCTTTTTTTCTCGTTTGAAGACTAGTGATACTAACCAACTGTGTAAATTATTACAAATAAGGTGAAGTCCGAACCTATGATGTAATGTTTGAAATTCAGATGTTGTAACTTCTAAACTAACCCTCAGTTATTCACTGTATTTAGAAGTAACCAAGACAAATTGTTCGGTCACTATTTACTCAGATATAATTGTAAGTAACTTTTATATATTCAATTTCCTTTATCCTTCTGTGGTAGTATATAACGGCAATATATAACTATTCACTATATGGTTCTCAGATATTATTAAGATGCTCAAATACATTCGATTATACCCACTACTGTTCTTGTTCACTACACTTCAACTATTACTTTCTTGGTTAGCGTTTTGTTTTTTTAACGAGTTAGTTTTCTACGAGATGAGGTCGCTAACCCCCCCTCCCATATCCAACCCTCTCGATTTACCCAAGTTTGAAACCGGTACTAATTGTAGAAAAGCCACAGGAAGAATTCCTCAAGTATATATTTACATATGTGTTCAGTCAACTACAACGTAGGACCAGGCACATATATTCATCGGTCCAGGTTGCCATACCGCATTAGCACAGCAAGATGAACACCGGATTCGTAAAAGTAGTTAATTCAATAGTGATAATATATAAAAGATTGCATATAAGGACATAGTACAGGAAGAAAGAATTAGTTCGTCGAAAGAAAGATTTGAAGCGATTTTAATCTCATAGTTTACGGGAAGACAGTGAGTGTATACACCGACGCCATTGTGATTGATTCTGAGCCATGCCACCTAGAGCCTCTAACCATTGGTCACAAAAGTCACGCGGACCCCAACCAAGTAGTCTGCATCTACCAACATGGCTCACACCAGAACTTGGTGACTTCAAGCACTGATGCCACGTTTTGATTTGGCCTCCCCTAACTCTCTTCCAACCATTTCCAACACTAGTCAGCATTGCACGTCGTGGTAATCGGTGTTCGGGCATACGTAACACGTGACCCAACCATCTCAGTCGATGAAGATTCACAACCTCATCAACTGATTTACCACTATTATTCCCTAATACTCTGTGTCTAACCTCACCATTACTTACCCGCTGATCCCAGCAGATGCGAGAAATATTTCTAAGGCATCTGTGGTCAAATACTAGTAACTTACGAGTGTCTTCTACTGTCAATGGCCATGTTTCGCAGTCGTATATTAGAATAGAACGAACTGCCTCACAGTATACTCGTCCCTTAATTGAAAGATGGATATCTCGCCTTAGCCATAGGTGACGTAAGTTGGCAATAGTCAAACGAGCTTTTCAAATCCATGCTGACATTTCGTCAGACACCAACCCACTAGGGCTGATCAGACTTCTAAGATAAGTGAAGTTGTCAACGTGTTCGACTACTTCACTTCCTATCCTTAGTTCAGGTGTTGACGCAGACCACTCCTAAAGCAAAAACTTGCATTTAGAGGAAGAGAAGCACATTCCAAACATTTTGGCATTGTTGCTTAGTGCTACCAAAAGACTCTGCATTTTATCAGCCTCTTCAGCAAACATATGTGTTACTCTTCTTTTTCAGTTTACTCTCTTTTAAAACAAAACAAAACAATCCATTCATTGTAAAAGATAGAATAAATTTAATAGGATAAGATAGTACAAGATCATTTACACATACAAATAGTTAAACATTATTTGTAAGGGTTTCAAAATTACGATTAATTTTAGGTCGTTTTTTCATTGATTTCAATGAATGATCATTAAATTTAGAATTATTTGAAGAGTTCTCATTGATTGTTGAATGAAAAGATGATAGTATACTATGATGATCATTATCTTGATGTAAACTATTCGATGTTTTACATATGAACTGATGATGTTCTTTTGATGATAAAGCTTGAATAGAACAAGGAGGAGTAAATCGTTTCTCATCATAAGTAATAATTAAATGATCTAAATGATGATCTATATTTCGTTTAGGTTTAGTGATTTTATCATTTAAGTTCATTTTTTCTTTTGATAAATTACTCTTATTATTATTATCATCATCATCATCATCATCGTCATCGTCATCGTCATCACCGTCATCATCATCAATAGAAGGATGGATAGTTGTAGATTCAATGAATTCATCAATCCATTCATTTCGATGACATTTTGGCATAAGATGATCATAATAAAGATTTACAATATGTTCTAATGTATTTACATTGGATACCTACTTTTTCAAATAAAGAAAAAAGGAATTAGTTAAATAGAGAAATTTGGAATTATTAATCAAACAAAGTACAATATTATTGATAAGTAATAAGGACTGGATATAACATACACCCATCTCCAACACCGGTTAGCATTGCACGTCGTGATAATCGGTGTTCACGCATACTCAACACGTGACCCAACCATCTCAGTCGATGGAAATTCACAACCTCGTCAACTGATTTACCATTATTCCTTGATACCCCCGGGGTTTTTTTCTTCCAAACTGAATGACGATCGGATAAAGTCCATGTTGTTACAATTCTAGGTTATATACCATGGAGAGTCGTCAAAATAAAAGACACAATAAGTTAAATAATTCATATCAAATAATTACAAGTTAAAATAATGAGTTCTAATTTCATTATAATTTAGAAAAATTCCAATCATAGTCATTTAGAACTTAGTTGAAGTTTTAGAAAACCATAGGGATTATATATGCACCAGTTCAAAAGCATCAATTATTTCATCTCTGAGACTATAATGTATAATGTAAGTACAGCCGAGAGTGAGGAGAGTCCACTCTCCTTCTCGAAATGCTCTCACATAGCCACGCATACACAGCCACTCCAAGGGAAGTCCTACTCATTGCCTTCTCGCACCACGGGTGTTGTTTACGAAATTGAGACGACGAAAAACAAATGTCCAGCGCTCTCACTGCGGTGGTGGATATGAGGGATTCACCTAAGGGAGTTAGAAAACCTTGATTTCAAACCAATGGTGCACATGGGCCCCAGTATCCTGAGGGAACAAATAACGTATGAACCAATCGTTGGTCACCTGCTACCATGAGACTGCATCTCCTAACGTTGCTCCACTGCCCTGTGGATCAGACCTTTGGGTCGAAGCCTCTGGGTGTGGTCCCCTAAGAAAATCACCTAATTCGGTTTGGTCACCCGGGCACTATCACATCCCTCACACAAATCAAATGAGATTTGTGTGGCACATATGTATTTTGGTGCCCCCTTGTACCAATATCTGTGTTCGAATAAATTATTTTACAAAGCTATAAACCAGTTATAGATCCTAAATACCTAAATTCTTTGTGAGGACTTGAAGAAAGTGACAAATAATTACTAGAAGAGCATTATATAAACCAATGCAGTTTTATAAAGCTTTCAAGATTGTTACCAAGTAATCTGATAGTGATAATTGTCTTCTAGGAAATAACGCCTCGCAATTTATATAGAACTAAATTGTAGACTAATCAAAAACTTACCATTAACGTGTGAAACTGGGGACACTCAACGTGTAAAAGATAATGCTAAGAGATTAGGATCCCAATATTTTTGAAATGATTTTGAACATATTTGATTTTTCACACTTCTTAAATTTAAGACTTTACTCTTAAAATGGGTTTCATTTAATACTTATTTTCATATCACGAGACAAAATAGTTGGCTTTATTAATATTAATTCTTAGCGACCGTAAATTTTGGCATATGCGATAATAATCACTACTTAAACTGACGGGCAGCGATAGCAAAAGCTAGACAAGGAGTTGATCCGGCTCTAATTCATGAGCAGTGATGTTCGACTTTCAGCCACTAAGTTGAAGGTCCGAAACCCGCTCTATCTACACCAGTTTACAGGACAGGGTAACAACACCAGCCTTCACAATTAACGTGACTTGAAGAAAAGTAATCAGATTTGTATATGGTGGATTAGTTTTGAAAAAATTCACGAGCTACCCATCCAAATACATGGGATTCATTTGCCTTTGACACTCTCTGTGATATAATGATAATAAGCACCAAGCTTTTAAGTACTTTGTCGCAGGTTTCGGTCGTCCTCTATATTAGGTTTATGCAACCTAATGGAAGCTTGAATATTCTACGGAAATTTCGAACTAATAGTATATAAAGCCAGATTACACAGCAATTCACTCACTAGAGATTTGAAACCTCGACGTTCAAATATTTCTAGTAGTTGATCTATTGACATTTGCTCTGGATAATATAGATCAACAGTAACACCACATCTAGGCAAATATTCTGAAACCTTTGGCTTTGATTCATTCTTGTCTACTTTTTTCATCTGGTCTAAAATCTGGAAATCTAAAACTCGTTGAAATATATAAAATGTTAATGTTGACATTTTGTGAAAATATATGAGGTGAACATAATAAGATTAACATGGTTGATTTCAATGCATTCTACATAATCTTCACGAGCACTGACTTCTACTCCTCTGACTTAATCTAATGAGTTAGAAATGTAACCAACTAAAAGTCAGTCGGGGAGATAAGAGAGGTATTAGAAGGTATAGGAAGGATTTGAATGTGACCACCTTGGTCTCTTGTGCTGTTACGGGTATGAGGGCTGATATCACTTCCCGGCTGCCCACACCGTGGAAGGGTATTTCTTGAGGAACCTAAAAAGGAAATTGGATTAGTGTTGGTCTTGACGACCTGGGAGCGTGACCGCAGAGCCCAAGGGACAACTGCTTGAGGCCGGTCGCGCACGGCCTTTTTGTGGAAGGTTTTTGACGTGTTAGCTCCGTTCTTCAAAGGGCCTACCGCCGGAGACGGAAATCCGTGAGGTAAGGTGAGGTGTGACATTTTTAGGGTCGACCTTTTCTAACCCCACCCCTCCTTGTGGGAAGGCAGCATCGCTGCAGATGCTGGTTGTCCGAGGGAAACACCTTACTGCTGTCACACCCCTCTACAGTCAGCAGTACGACTTCGCCCTCAGACCTTGAGTTGCTGCTTTTAGTCTTACCGTTCACCAATCGACCTGCCTGGCATGGTAGAACCTGCAGGAACATATGTTCCAGCTAATATAGCTCGGTTGGGTCATCACGATAGGCAAGCCCGACCACCGCGTCAAGGTAGCAGCTTCGATCGGGCCAACTAAAAGTATTTAGTTCCGAACATAACCTATAATTTTGGTGGTGAGCTGGTGATACTAGTCACAGTGATAAATCAGAGTCAGGAAAATAGAGATCAAATAAGCAACTCAGTGATTAAAATTTGATTAGTTTAACTACTAACACATTGCTCTATTTCGTGATTCATAGAATACGAATAAGTGCCACGTTAAACATTGAAGGGTATAATCTGATGCGTTTTTTGTGTACTATAAAGAGTCTTGACATGAACGGTTGTAGCCACTAGCAGATTGAATGTGTGCTAGAATTGGCTTTGGTCGCTAAAGGTATTTTACCCATATTGAGGTGAAATGAGATGAGTCATCCCACATAGGACGTAATGAATCAAAGGTGGTGTTTAGTTACACAAAAGTACTTCTGAATATTATTCCTTAATGCAGTAGTATTCAAGAAGTTTAAAATTTTTTCTTGTTACTGAATTACACATTGTGAACCCAATGCATAATTTACGGTGATATTTTACCACAAATAAGAGTACGAATTTCATGGCTTACATAGTTCGTTGATGTTAGCAAATATATAGAGCTACACTCACGCTATTTAATCTTGTAAGATATATCCCCGACGGAATTTGAACAGCAGACTGTCGTAATAGAAATTAATTTGAAATATAAATATGGACAGCGTGATCTTAACTTTTTTAGTAAGACAAATCTGGTATTACACTAAATACAACTCTTACGAACTATATTTAAGTTTAGTTGAAGAGGTTTATCCGTTGAGTTTAAGAAATCAATCTTTTATATAGTCTGTATAAGATCTGTTCAAGGTCCTTAATAGTACTACCCATAGATGATATATTTTAATTGGCTTCGACAGATGAGAGATCACACAATCCCCCAACTAAACAAGGGACTCATTAAACCTCAGATGTCCTTTTTCCATAACGTTTAAACTAGTAAGCCTTACAGTATTTCATGATAGATTCCTAAACTTTATAGTAACATAATAATTTTTAAATTATGTAACGACTAAGCAAGGTAGCATGTAATGCTAAAAAACCAACAGGCAGACGTATGCAAAAGTCCACGTGGGTTGTATGCAGTTTGTTGAGATAAATAAAGTCAGTTATTGCATGGCGTCACACAATTTACCCCACCATCATGATTCTCGTAGCAAGGTTTAGACACGCCAGTGAGAATGGATATTTGACTAGACGATAGAACTGTTACCCCTGTTTCTATAATATGACATGCCAATTCCTAAGGTTTTCACCCTTAAACAATAAATTAGGCATTATCGTGGTAAAGATTGTTTCTTTTGAAAGGAACGGCGAATATTCGCCGTGTGGTGGTTCCCAGCAAAAGGAGCTTATACAAGATATATCAATACACAAGGTTACTAATAATGATATACCAAGAGAGTTAACAGTAAAAACCCTAGGTGTCTGTCTGTAAGTAAAACCAAGGGTAACAAAATACAGTTAGAACACAAATGGTATATTAAACAAACAGATAATAACAGTTATTATAGAATGAATGTTACTTGTAAGCTACCTCGTGAAAATAACAACCACAAATGAGTTCAATTGATTGATGAAGATTCCTCTGCAAGTGATTGCACCAACGGCGTATATAGAAAGACAAAGTCCAAAACTATTATATAATAATAATACGTGCCTATAGTCCAACGTAGTGTCAGAAGGCCTAAAAGGATGTTATAAAACTATTATAGTCTTCAATCAAAAACCGTGGCCAATAAAGCAGAAGAACAAACGCCGTAGATAGCGTTTTATATTTTAACCAACGCAGTAGTCGTAAATTTGTATATTAATCCTCAAAATAATTAACATCGTTTTTTTTTACCAGTGATACAGAAAAACAACAGATATTGAATAAAAATGTGGTTACATATAAAGTGTGATAAATTAGAGAGAAAATGCAGTTTTTCTTTTGGCTTTACAAAAACCACTGAATATACGTCACCATATAACTCCCCCCCCCTAGGGCATGCGTCGGTGGAGGTATGCCCGACGTAGAACTCTAAATGCTTTGGAGGGAAAAGCAAATTACACAATGAAAAGAATAAACAAATGTTATCAAAAAAATTCACACGTGTCTACATATTTACGAACCAAACTGTTTCTCTTGTAGTAAAGAGAAACAAAAAAGAATTGTGCTTCTTGCTTTTAATGTATATAAAAGGTTTATTACCAATACCGGAATGTATAATAATAATCATGATAATAATAATAATAATAGTGTTATTAATAATAACGGCAATTAAATTGATAGTTCATCGAAAAATGTAAATACAGTGTATAAATCGTGTAAACAATTAGTGATAAACTGAACGAGTCCAACGAAGTTGAATATCGTTACACCATTAACAATAAACGTCATACGAAACGCGTACACATGTAGAGAAAAACATAATGAATTTATCAATATCAGTAGGTAAGGTAAGTGAGACGAGTCAGTGTCCGTCTCACTTACCTTAGCCAAAAAACCCATTGATAAGAGTGAAAAATTTACTCTACAGGCAGCTAGTAAAACCAAAATAAGGACATTTGGCGAACAACTCATGACATCAAACTTGGGGATTAAACGACATTTAACCTGGGTGTTCATTATTGCTAATGTCTGCCACCCTATATTAGGTGCAGATTTTCTAAGCTTCTACAACTTAATGGTTGACGTTAAAAGAAGAAAACTTGTAGATTCCTGCACGAAGCTTCAAGTAAAGGGAACTCAGTCGGACCATCACATACATAGTATTAAAGTTGACACCCAAGTAAATGATATATTCGCCAGCATTTTACCTACACTTCCCAAGATGACGAAAATGGATTATAGTGAAAACTCGACCCAACGCTCCGCGGTACATCGAAAGATTACAATAAAAAAGAAAGAAATAGTTTCAACTGACAGGATAAAACCTGCTTTTATAGAACCTGAAACACAGGACAGCCGAAAGCCGTCTAAAGACAGCGGCAATCACACAATGCAGTTTCCAGTGTTTCCAAATAATTCTTCACCAACTCCTACGAAATCAATACTTCGTAAAACAGACGGTTCTAAGGTTACAGCTCCCACAAATTTAAATCCTAGTTCCGCTACTTTACCTTCTACAAAAACAACTCGTTCAGGAAGACACGTACATTTTCCCAAACGTTATGTTGAATTCATTACTTAATCTTTATTCTGTCATTTTCTATAATGTGACTAAATATCTATATTAGCAGAATTACTAATAACATTTTTTTGCAAGCAATTTTTTTTCTTAAAAAACACATTTCGTGTGTACTACTGATATTGATAAATTCATTATGTTTTTCTCTACATGTGTACGCGTTTCGTATGACGTTTATTGTTAATGGTGTAACGATATTCAACTTCGTTGGACTCGTTCAGTTTATCACTAATTGTTTACACGATTTATACACTGTATTTACATTTTTCGATGAACTATCAATTTAATTGCCGTTATTATTAATAACACTATTATTATGAATATCATTAAACGACATAATAACAATGCACATCAATTTAACACTTTCTAGTGTCTAACTACTTGCTGTCGCAGTATTAAGTGTTCGACAATTAACAGCCTGCCTCAACTGTTAACTCTCAAGGTCATGATTTGAAACACACAAGTTCGTTTGCAGTACCCAATGTTTAACACGGGCATGCACAAACCTATCGATTTCTTTGAGGTCTTTCGTTGTAATTATGGTGCAGTTCATGCTTTCTTTTGTGCTCAATAAGTGTTATCTAGCTATTTGATTGCACCAGATCTAGCCAGCTTGACAGTTATATGTGGATTTGCACATTTTGTAGATTGAGTAAGTTTATCTCAGGACAGTAGGGTTTCTGAATAATATGGCTACCATATTACGACTCAGAAGGCTGGTTAGTTTCAATGTGAAAAAAGAATAAGTGTGGAAATTAGAGAAGGTTATTGCTTCAAGAATAACAAATGGGTTAATTGATTAGTAATAGAGACAGAATCCTTCAGGAAGAATTTCCGCTTATCCCAGGCACTTCTTTTTGCCCGCAATACGAGCACTGTGTTCGAGGCAACCCGGGATCTCCTCTTTTCAGATATGCGCTTTGCCTGAAGAAGATCATCTGAGATATAATCCGAAATAATGATCACCACCCAGTGATCAATCAATTGTGAATGTCCACTACTATCTCCCAGTGGTT